GTAGCAATTTCTCATTCTTGTTCTCGTGATATCATTATCTTTCACTGCGTCGTCGTGATCATCCCGCTGCATAACAATTCTCGCCAACAAATAATTGACTGTTCTCCACCGGGTGTATATCCACTTGAACCACTGGCGACTACATTAGCAGGCTTGTACTGTTAATTGCAACAAAAAAACGGTATTTTGAAATAGTACTCTTTATTTTACGCGTATGTTTCGCAGTATTTCCATATACTGTATATGGGTCGCGACCCAAAGCTGGGCTCAACAAATACCTAGAAGGTATCGATTTTATTTCCTAGTAAATTTGATGCCTTGCGTAGTTTGTGCACCCAAGATTGCGCACAACTGAACATAGTATTGTAAACAGGTTATGGTCAGGTTGTGCGTCATATGATGCACAGGTTTGACAAAAAACACTAATACCAAATATCGAGCCGTAAAAAAAGTGCTCAAGGCTGCAAACTCCACACCCATGTAGAAATGATGGGCAATGACCCCAAGATGAATACTCACAAATTAAAAAAAAATTTATGTCTGAAATCAACTTGGGCCAAAAAGGTCCCCTATCTGCCGGACTAAGACTTTGGATGGACTTTGGATAATGAGAAACAGGCATATTAATTTACGGTCCCCCAATGAGTGTAGTGCCACATATACAAAGGCAAATATTTTACGAATCTTGACATTCTATCCCTATAGTCGGATTCGGAAGACTTTTGACACAGGGTACTCAGATTCTCAAAAAGGACAATGAAAATATTTGAGACAGACGTGTGAATAAATATGCACTACTTTAATGTGTGCTGTATTTGTGATTTCCATTTTACTCCCCTTTCTCTGCGCGACTCTGACATAGGCATTTTACTTGTTCTGATTAAAATTTGGCTTTGTTTGGTGCCTATTTCAATTTTGAAAAGCGCTATAATTTTATAGAACACCCACGTTCTACCGAAAGACAAACGTTTAGACATATTGGGTTCCTATACATAGCCGTTGCTATCATTGTATTTAAAGTTTCTTTTTTCGGAAGTTTGTCAGAAGATGCTTCTGTGCTGAGGAAATTGAATAGATCATTTCATAAACATTAAAAACGAAATTGACAATTACTCATATAATTTACCTATTGAGCTCATTGCTCATTACAATCATCCAATATGATTATAAGTTCTATTTAAAACGTAACGACAGATAGATGAGAGATGCATCCTGGAAAATTAACTCAGGATTGTGAACGAATGCTTAATTATCGATTGCGCTTGAAGTCGAATCCATTCCAAATTTCAACAGTTAGAAAATTGAAGAGCCTATAAATATGGGTCTTCTTTCATCCTTTTTCACATTTCCCCTGAATTACTTGGAGATCAAATACTATACCACTTCCTCCACTATGTCAAATTTCTGTTAACCAATTTTAGCGAGCGAGTGTTCAAAGATCGGTATGAGAACAGAAAAACATTTTCTTAATATTTCGCTGTTAGTGAACCGCAAGATGAAAAAGGTCTGGAAACATTGTAGTGGTATTAACATTTGAAGGATCTTAACATTGTTTCACGTCTTATGAATAAAGGTAGGACGAATACATGACGTACGGAAGGACATCAAATAACAAGGCTTTAGTTGTGTGGTAAAAAAATACACTCATAGCGTACTCGCAAGCGCCATTATTACGGCTTTATTATCGTCGCTATTATTAGGCAAGCTCTAGTTCGTGATTGGGAGGATGCAGTGACGTAATTTTTGGATGACGAAGTCAGGTGAGGGTCAGGAATCATATATACAAAAATTGTTACGCTAAGCCTAATAGAAGGTATTGAGGTATGAAACTACACCCATAGCGGACAGACAGGCGTATTTAACACGATTGCATTATGGTCGCTATTATTAGGCAAGCTCTATTTCGTTATTGTGAATTCGCATTGACGTAATTTTTAGATGACGAAGTCAGTGCAAGGTCAGGAATATTATATGCAAAAATTGTTACGCTAAGATAAGTATAAGTTATTGAGGTAAAAAACTACATCCATAGGTGGCATTGCTAGTAATCGTCGCTAATATTGGGCAAGCGTTATTTCGTTATTGTGACGTTGCAGTGGCGTAATTTTTGAATGACGAAGTCAGGTGGGGGTCAGGAATGATATATGCAAAAATTGTTACGCCAAGTTAACTAGAAGTTATTGAGGTAGGAAACTACATCCATAGGTGCCATTACGAATAACGTCGCTATTATTGAGCAAGCTCTATTTCGTTATTGTGACGTTGCCGTGACGTAATTTTTGGATGACGAAGTCAGGTGAAGGTCATGAATATTATATGCAAAAATTGTTACGCTAAGTTAACTAGAAGTTATTGAGGTAAGAAACTACATCCATAGCGGACACACAGACGTATTTATCACGATTGCATTATGGTCGCTATTATTAGGCAAGCTCTATTTCGTTATTGTGAAGTCGCATTGACGTAATTTTTGGAACATGAAGTCAGGTGAGGGTCAGGAATAGTATATGCAATAATTGTTACGCTAAGATAAGTATAAGTTATTGAGGTAAGAAACTACATCCATAGGTGGCATTAATAGTAATCGTCGCTATTATTGAGCAAGCTCTATTTCGTTATTGTGACGTTGCCGTGACGTAATTTTTGGATGACGAAGTCAGGTGAAGGTCATGAATATTATATGCAAAAATTGTTACGCTAAGATAACTAGAAGTTATTGAGGTAAGAAACTACATCCATAGCGGACACACAGACGTATTTATCACGATTGCATTATGGTCGCTATTATTAGGCAAGCTCTATTTCGTTATTGTGAATTCGCATTGACGTAATTTTTAGATGACGAAGACAGGGCAAGGTCAGGTATGATATATGCAAAAATTGTTACGCTAAGATAAGTATAAGTTATTGAGGTAAAAAACTACATCCATAGGTGGCATTGCTCGTAATCGTCGCTAATATTGGGCAAGCGTTATTTCGTTATTGTGACGTTGCAGTGACGTAATTTTTGGATGGCAAAGTCAGGTGAGGGTCAGGAATGATATATGCAAAAATTGTTTCGCTAAGTTAACTAGAAGTTATTGAGGTAAGAAACTACATCCATAGCGGACACACAGGCGTATTTATCACGATTGCATTATGGTCGCTATTATTAGGCAAGCACTATTTCGTTATTGTGAAGTCGCATTGACGTAATTTTTGGAACATGAAGTCAGGTGAGGGTCAGGACTATTATATGCAATAATTGTTACGCTAAGATAAGTATAAGTTATTGAGGTAAGAAACTACATCCATAGCGGACACACAGGCGTATTTATCACGATTGCATTATGGTCGCTATTATTGGGCAAGCTCGATTTCGTTATTGTGACATCGCATTGACGTAATTTTGGATGACGAAGTCAGGTGAGGGTCAGGAATGATATATGCAAAAATTGTTACGCTAAGATAAGTATAAGTTATCGAGGTAAGAAACTACATTCATTGCGCTAAGGCAAATTAATATGTCGGTTTCTGCTTGTCTAAAGCCTTGCATAGAGTGAAAGCGTTCCACGTCCTATTAATAAAATGTGGCCCAATACATGATCAGTCTCTGGATATTAAATAACAAGTCTTTATGTCTGCGGCACCTAACCTCAATCATTGCGTGAATTAAATGTTCTTTCCGTTTGTCTAAAGCCTAGCTCAGAGCGGTATCGTATATCACCCTATTAATAGATCGTAGCACAATACATGAGCTATTGCTGGACATAAAATAATAAGTCTTTATGTGTGTGGTACCCAACTTCAACCATCGCGTAAAATAACATGTATTTTCTGCTTGTCTAAAGCCTTGGTTAGAGTTGTATTGTATAACGCTCTATTTTAGATTGTAGCACGATACATGAGCTATTGATGGACAGAAATTGGTCAGAATGGGATATCGTGAACGTTCCTCGGCGACAATTTAGTCGCTTGTTATTCTTGTGTTTATTTTGAGCTCTGTTCAACGACCCCGATAAGAGAGAGGTCGCTGACGTATTGAGTTTGTTGACATACTCGTAGGCGCCATTACGGGTGACCGTCGCTATACTTTGGCAAGCTGTATTTCGTTATTGTGACGTCGCAGTGACGTAATTTTTGGATGACGTCATCAGATAGGGGTCAGGAATCATATATCCAAAAATTGTTACGCCACGCCCACTAGAAGTTATTCAGGTAAGAAAGTACATGAGACCCCTGTTGCAGTGCAGCAATGTTACATGTCTGCATGTTATGCCTGTATGCAGCAGAGATGGGATATGATTTAACTAGGCTATGAATGATAGTAGGCTATCCGGATTTAAATATTTGTTATTTATTAATCACAAGTCTAGCGAAGTAAACGAGGTACCGCCACCGGTACCGAACTGCTCAAATAACGCCAAACTGCCAAAAAAATGTGACATGATAATACAATGTGAAGTTTTTATATTTTTCTTTAATAAAAGTCTTTCTCGTTTAACATTCAGACACTCATTCTGTGCGAGACATACCGTACTTTTTTAGCACATAAAAGTTCAAGCTGTGTTGTCTATGGCAGTATAGTATTATGTATGGCCTACCATTGTCAAAGCAGCTGGAGTGTGAAGTGTCAAAAAGTCAATCTGAAAACTTCACCATCAGATAATCCAATATACTGTCAGACCGTAAAAAATGTTAATGTAGCATTTGCAGATATGAGAATTTTTTGGGGAAAAAACACAATTTTAGTCACATGGCATCACGCATCTGTTGCGTGCCAGATACCTCGTTTTAAAGCTCAAAAGAGTGTTTGTTTTATTAAACCAAATATCAGTATATCTTGGAATCCGAGAACTGTGCCCAACTATAGATATCAAAGGGACATCTTTTTGTCTATTTGAGTTAACCTTACCTACTATTCATGTTCAAATAGCTTCAATAGCCTTCATTTTTCCTTGCTCTGCATCCTACTTGCAATATTTTTCTAAAATATGATTTTATTATTTCAAGGTTTCAAAATGGTAAAGTATGAGTCATTTTCACATGTATTTAGTTATGCATGGGAACATGTTGTAACTTGTTTCTGGAAAAAATACCCAAATGAAAACAGCACCCATGTTTTATCAGAAGATGTTTTAGTTCGCAAGCTTCTTGATGAGAATCGGCTGTACACCAAACGGATTATTGGCAAAACAAACCCACTTCCAAAATGGGGAACTACGATATTTCCAAGCAATATGACTAAAATTGCTCATGTTTTAGAAGAGTCCATCGTGGATCTCCAGCATAAAACAATGGTTTCATATACCTGGAATATTTCTTATGTCACCTTGATGAGCATCAAAGAAAAAATCCAACTAACAGCGGATACTTCAGAAACAACTGATTGCAAGAAGGAAGGATGGGCAGATTCATCAGCTACTGGTCTGAGAAGAGTTTTACGAAAGTTCGGGATCACGCGCTGGAAGTCGAACGCGCAAAAAGCCGTAACTGGATATGAAAAAGTTCTTGCAAATTTTGATCAAAGACCGAAAGTGGAAACTCCTATTTCTGTTGAAGTAAAACATTTGCACATTCCAAAACTCAGTGATAATACAATTGAAACAATTAAAGATGCCAAAGACAAAGCTAAAACCAAAGCTATTGACCTTGCTGCACTTGCTGCTGCAAAGAAAGCAGCCAAAAAACCTCAAAATATTTCATAATCTAATTTTTACAAGAATTATAACTATTTTGAAACTCGACTGAATAAATTATCATCATGCGTCTATTAGAATTACTATATTGTTCACGTTTTTATAAAATTTACAAATATGTAATTCTATCCGTGAATTTACATTTTATGGACATTTAGAATTTCATACAGTATAGTTGAATGGATATTTATAATAATAATAAATGCTACATTGTTGATTTGGTGCAAACCATATATAGAATGCCATATTTCAGTAGTATAATTTTTTTATAATTTAATTTCCAACTAGGTAATATAAAATGCGCTAATTTTACTTGTATGATCTTTTGAGTTTTTTTTTTTTTGAATGTACTACTGCAAAAGTTGAGTAAATATTAGAAGTGATCATTCATTCCCATTGTGCATTGTTCGAAATACGCCTTCGAAATGTTATTAAAGTTTCAAAACTGATAAATTGCATTTGAATTTATACCTAAATCATTTTTGTAGAGGAAATTAGCATGCCTCGTGCTTCAATCCAACTACAGTACTTTAACATAAGGATAGTTTTTTATTCACTTCCATACATTTCCGCCTTGACTTTCAACAAAGTTTTCTATTCTGATATAAGTGTGTTATATGGAACAAAATTGTGCCTATCCAAAACTTGACACACAGTTTTCCAAAAATTAATTGATTGTAGTATCGGCAAACTAACAATTTACCTACGGTAAATGGCTTGTTCAAAACATATACCGTACTTGAGCATTTTGTGTGTTGATTTTTATTTAGACAAATATTTTTTAGATATTATTTGTCTCTTTCATCTTTGTCTATTTGTAATTGAATAATAATTGGTGGTTACTTTTCATTAGTCGCAGGTTTCTTGATATGGCAATATTAGTTGCCTTGTTTAGTAAAATCAGACAAATCTTCTCCAGTTATGTGTTAATGACACCTGAAGACTCAAACGCAAGTCCTTTTATTATCGGTAGCAGTTTATATTCAATGCCTCTCATTTATTTGATCATTTTGGGCTGTGTCGTCCTGATTGGATATTTCTGCTGGCAAAGTTATAGGTAAATATTTCTCGATTAATTATACCTCTAAATTGATAACATTCCCATTTCTATCAAAATTCTTAACTATTTTATGGACATTTTATCAGTATTTGATTTAAAATTTGTGGAGGTATTTAATTACCGGTACTTTAAAATTGTATTACCGGTTGGCGGTTACTCATATGACATTGTTACTTTCAGGCAAGAGTTGAATGAAGAAAAATTACAGGAGCATGCTGGTAAGATATTAATATGTGAAATCGGACACATAACATAATATTCCTTTGGTTATACTTATTTGAATAATGATAAAAATGTATGATTTACTGAAGCTTGAAATAATCAATTGAGAAATTTTCTCTCATCGGCCAGTAAAAGGGGAATGTTTCTATTTCAAGAAAATTACCTAATTGTAATTCATCAAATGATGCTGGCACTGTATAATCAACAGAAAGAGGTTGTGCTGTTTTTATTGTTATCAAATTATCCATCCTTCAATTTGCTGAATGAAATGAGAAATTGAAATCTTATTTTCTATTGAATTTCAATAAATGTCCCATGCAGTGTTTTGTGCATACTACTTTCAACATTGATAAATAGGTACTTCCATAGTATGTGTACCAGGTTAGGGCATAAATTTATTCCGATTTTCCCTGTTTTAGACCTGTTACGAGTTCGGGGACTGTCTGTGTTAGCCAAGTGATGAAGTGAATATACCCCCTGTCCATAGGTTTCAGCCAATATATATATATAAATTCATTTGTCTCGGATATAAGATATGAAAAAGCTATTTACTTTGAATTACAGTGGCTTGTTATAGTTTTTAATTTAAATATGAGGAATTGTAATTAAAGTAAAGTTGGTATGATTTTCAGTTTACTTTGTTTGATCAATTTACAATTAATATTGATTAAATCTCTCCTACGTTCAATCATCTTGCATATTTTCTTGTTCAGCTTCTTCAGATGAAAACTTTACGAGTTATAATTTGGCTTGGTTAAATAAATTGATCAATTGGTCATACATCAGCTCACCGTCTGGCACTCCTGATGCTATCAAACGTTGGATGGAAGATGTCAATATAAACTTGGCCAAAAGCGAGGTAAACAGACATTAGGAATGAACCGTATAAGGAATGTGTGAGGTTCAGCTTGGAGAAGACATATTCGTTTGCATTATTTTCCAATGTATATATATAGGCTCCTACATCATATTTAATTCTGACAAATTGAATACAATCACTTACATGCCACGATTTAGATGCCCTTTTTACATATTGTTTCACTTACATTGAGGCAATCACTTAATATGTATAAATCAACATACCGGCATTCATGCTTGTTACTCATACTGCCATGCTGGTTGATATTATTAATAACATTGTTGTCAACTTGTACTTATTTGGTTAGACTAACCAATGTGTGGAATATTATTACAGAAATGATGATATTAGTCATCTTGTACCATAGCATCATGCCTATGCCATCATGGTAGATTTTTCAAATATGACAATTATTCATGCCCTTTGGAATAACCAAATCCAACTTTATTACATTGCAGTGGTGGGCATGTTTTTTACACCCATGATTTTTAACCTGCTACAGCAACGTAGCTACATTCAGCACTCTCCCTCATGTATAGCTTTATAATTTATTTAATACAAGTATGATTATCGTATGGTTTTTTTCTATCAAGAGTCCAATCAAGATACTTGTATATGGGATTCGAGAAGGATCAGTTCCACCATGGATCAGGGAGATTGGACAGTTTCAAAAAGTACGGGATCATGTTGTAAGTAAAATATCAATAACTTATTATTGATAGACCAATCAGTTTATTATTGTTTCACGGTAAATATTCTCTAAAGTTAATTAGATATGAATTGCTTTTAAAGAGTATTGATCTTTATAATCAATACTCAATTTGAATCTATGATTCAGAAGTATCTCACTTTAAGCGGTGCCAAAACTGTTGCTCAATTTCTTGTCATTCACTGTCAATAAAATAAATTACACAGTAAATATTATTGATTTAGTTTCTGTGGGACTAACTACTTAATATGCCTCTGTGCCGGTGGATTCTTACCCGTACCCGTAAATATTATAGTTTTATTTTCCAAATTTTCAACATAACGCTATGTGTTTCTGCTTACCGGTGCTTTGATTTTGTTGAAACTTAACTGAATATAATATATTCAAGGTTTTTAAAACGAATGGAATATTCGAATAACTTCAAAATTAATAATATTTGATATACCGGTAGTAAATTCTTAATTTTCTGAATAATTTAGGATATATTTATATAATTAAAATTTATGATTTTGACCTATTCACACTAGGCAATTGTGAAAAAAATTGTCTCCATCTAATTTCTAATAACACTAAATAAGGAAAACCTTATAAATCAGAGTTCATCTTATCTGCAATGCTTCCCTGTAACGTCCTTTAGTTTTTGTATATATTATAGTAAATTATTTGATGGACATTATTGTATATGAAGGCTATCTTTTTTGCCAAATTGGTTGTAAGTATTGGAATGTTACCAATAGCAATAAGTATAGTTCATTTTTCACCAGTCGATTAGTCTTTATTTTTTGTATAAGAAAGTAAAAGTCTTGTTCTCATTGTTTAACATTGCTATTACGGTACATCATACTATGTCAGTACAATAACCTGTAACATTTTTACACTTACAGTAAGTGTTTACTTGTTCGAAAACAGTTTGTAAAGAATACGATTATTTACAGGAAATTCCAGTGTTATTTGACGTTCAAGAATTTGGATTAACCGTCAGTGTGCAGGAGGAAGATGGTGGCAAAATAATTGCTTCTACATACACAGCTGTTGTGACGCAATTTAGTTGCTGGGTAAATGTTATTTATTAAAACAATTTTTACACATTTGTTTCTTCCACAATACTCAAGTACATTTACCATGTGTCATGATCTCATGCTTTCCTTTGTACTCATTCTCTGAAGTGTTCTTGGTAACTTGTACCATTCCAGAAGTACATTATTTGTGTACCACCTTACTACTTTTGTTTGCCAGTTGCAAAATGAATTTTTTTATCACGTAAAATTTTTAAATATCGCATTTGGGTACAACTGCTTTTTTAAATGTAATAAAATCATATAACGAAGGTTCATCATCAAATGAGCCAGACTTTTGTTTAATAGTATTGTCAGAGAATTTTGGACAATATAACATCTTATAGCTTTGTGTAATATTAATAAGAACTGTGATGTTCGAGTTTGTTCGTTTTGAATTTATGTTATTAACCAAGCAAATAATCCCTACAATATCTTTTCTACTGTTTAATAAATTTTAAGCCATATATCCAACATTTTGTTGCTTTCCTTCTAGTAATTCTTTTCATCTCTTACTTTTTCAGTATAAAGCAATCATTTCACGAATTGATGGCAACGTTCTGGCAAAGTTGGAGCCAGATTTGGAACGGCCTCACACTGTCAACTTCAACATGAAATTATTATCAGACCAGAAAATATCAACGACTGTGCCAGAGGTTGGTTATCAAACTTTCATGCTTCGTGGCCCTCTCTCAGCATTTGTGTCCCCGTGCTCTGCAATAAAAAAAAATCTGATTTTGTTTTAATAATGGTTTTCCATCAGGTATTCTATTCGCTATGCTTAATAATAATAAGCAAGAGAATAAATCATTACAATCAAAGAACTGATTGTAATAAAGAACAAATCGCAGTTAATTTACTTAAAATTAATGCAGTCATCGCAAATGCCACTTAATGAAGGCCTCCAGCGTGGCCTTCTAAGGTAGGCTAGTCAAGAGACCAGTTTGTAACACCCTGCTCTACTCTGGTATGTTGACTTTATACCTAATAATTTAATAACGATTATTCACTCATTGTACTTTTACTGTTGTGCTCTCAAGCTGCAATGCTGCTGAATATGATGTTTACTTATTAAGAATGAGTAGGTTACATGATATTTCATACTCTTTCTTGTTCATATGAGGTCCTATTAAAACTAGGTTATACAACGACCATTATTGAATAATTTCCTATTTCAAATAAATTTTAAATTAATGTTATGCTCAAAGAAGATGTCGATGTACGAGTATATTCAATTTTGATTTGTAAGTGCTGAAAAATTGAGGTAAACAGTTATTTGATTGGTTCTTGAAAAATTTTACCATGTCTGCAAGCTTTTTGGGATTTTGATAGTCTCATTCTCAGTAAAAACCAATATTTATTTATTCTTTCAAGGTTCATTAATCAAATAGACACCATATTTGCTCTGTGTATTTAATGGGGCGTTCCATTTAATTATAATGGATTGGATGAATCAAAATACCAATGTAGCTTCATTAATGCGTAATGAATTAACTGAAACTGGATCTGCTTAAGTAGCTTTTCAGAAATGTTATTGATTTTTCCATTTAATCTTAATTTTTCCTCTTGTTATGCAGCTATTTATCATGCTATACAGACATGACCCTTTGTTACCTTGCCAATTTGAACTTGTGAGAAGTCTGTGATATGGCATATGAGATTGGGCACATTTATGTATATTTTCAGAACGTTGAGTCATATTAGTAAATCCAATTTCTGTAATAAAATTTGAATATGGACAATCCGGATATTTTTTTGCATGATTTTCATGATTTAAATCAAATTTGACGTAAATCATTATTTACTCAGAAACACCCCCTGTGATTTTAATAACGGTATATAAATTTACAATTTTTTTGATTAGTTGTGTTGTCATTCTTGTCTGGGCACGTTGCTCTAATGATAGATAAAGTGACCACTGGGTCAGGAACATTTTCAAGTGGGTTACAAATTACAAAAATATTAAAAATTGCTACTAGAGTTATTGAAATATAAGTTTAACTTTCAGTGTAGTAGCAAAGAACGATGATGCTGTTTTTGCTGCTTAGTGATAATTTTAATCAAATCGGAAGTGGCTATTTCCTGTAGTTTTACCCTCGCATGGGTAAGTTAATGGGCTACAGAATTTTTTGTGCAACAAAAGTGGGCCAAAAAGAAAAGAGGTTGAGAACCACTGGGTTAAACTATGTTGGCCCCGTAAGTTAAAAATCTTGCCCATCACCCCACCCGAGGTATAATAAATTAGTATGAAATGGTCAACAGGAAAAATCATAGTCCTTCAAGTCTGTGATAGTTTCTTACCAAGCAGGGGATGCAAGGAGCTTTGTTTGAACTGAAAGTCGTATAAAAAATAATTTATTACTCACATATAACTCTTGTTGTATACAGGTTGTCGCCGACATGATAAAGGCCGGAGTTTTGAAAACACCATTTTATGTCAATGTTTCTACATGGGGTCCTGTGATCCCTATGACTAAAACAAGACGACGCTCTTCCAATACTCCAGAGAAAAAACTTAAACGTAAAGATGACAATGGGAACACTATTTCTATTAAGGAACATGCCGCAGTTGGAAATTTTGCAACACCGAAAGGTATGTTATATTTTTTCAATGTTTTTTGCATTCCACAAACAAGTTTTTATCCATATTTAATGTTAGTCATGAGAATTTTAAAACAAATTCATAAGCAGATAAAAAAAAAATATTGGATTATGAACTATAAATTCCATAATTAGTAATTTGATACAATATGTTTTGAATTATGATTTAAAATTCAATATAAGCCATAATATCCTCTAACACAGGAGTGGGCAAAATACGGCATGTGGGTCGGATCCGACCCACTGAAGTGTTAGATCAGGACCACTTGTGTCCGCTAAAATTTTGATTATAGTTTATATAGATAAATATTTACATTGGAGATATCGATAAAAATAACGTCATGTTGAGTTTTTAGCGTCCAGCTCGGAAACCACGTCTGTTATCTGTTACTGGCCCACTCAGAAAAGTAATTGCCCATCCCTGCTCTAACAGTAAATAAATTTCATACATTCGATGTACTTTTTCATTCATAATAATTTAAGTTAGAAATCTAGTATATTATAATTCTTAGTATAGATTTTTAATGTTGCAATTGCAAAAAAGTATTCCTCAAAAATACAACTTCGTCAGTTCTATTTTACTTGACATGAAATTTTGATTCAGACAGAGGAGTCTGGTTTGGATTTACCTCAAATCAAGGCTAACTTTTATAGTTTCACATGACTTAGGCAGAAGAAAAGGTACTCCCGTAGTGTGTGTACCAAGTTAGGGTTAGGCCATAATTTAATGCCGATTTTTTCTCATTTTAGTTCTACTACAAGTTTGGGGACTGTCTGTGGTTAGCCAAGTGAATATGCCACTTGATGTAAAATAGACGAATAAAATTAGTTACCTCCATATTGGTACATACACTTCTGGAGCGTCGAAGAAAAACATTCCGGTTTTGATAAAATTTTTAATATTTCAGCCGTCCATACCTTGATGCCAGAGACTGAGACATTCAGCACTCCTGCTGCAAATATAGACGGTGATATGCAAATACGAAAATCCAGTACAATGCCTATCGAAACATCTCGTGTATTATCTGATCATTTGAAAGCAAAAAATGGTCTGAGTGGAAGCTTGGGATCTCTTGTTGGAATAAAGCGTACTCCATCGGGACGAGGTCCTGCTAAACCTATCCGGGCACGAGAGAAAAGACTTATTATAAAAGGTATAGATAGCAATGGTAGTCTATTTCTATCTTCCTAAGATATAGGGTTTTCCATATTTACACTAGACGAGAGGGAAGGTAGTAAAACTGCTTGATTATAAGGCAAACCACGGCCTATGTTACAAGTCCATTTTGGTTATGGGAATGGTTAACCAGTCATTCATATCATAAGCATGGATCTAGTGGTGGATAAGGCATATTATATATTGGTAGAATTGTCCTACTTCCCACGAGTATTTTCTGAAATTTTAGCTCAATTAATGAATTAAAAACATCTCTTATTAAAGTACTTATTATCATTTTTATTAAGATCTAAAATTAGTTTTATTCTTATCATTTGCAGTGATAAATTCAAACGGTCTTCCAAATAAAGGAGTTCTATATTGCCAAGCAACATTAGATTTTCCTCATCAGAAATGCAAAACTAATCCAGTTGAATCCAGTTCTAACCTGTCATGGCCAAATCATGATTTGACTTTTGATCTAAGTGCTAGATCTTCTGAAGTGAAACTTGTTCTGTATAAAACTGTGAACAGTAATGAACAACTGGCAGGTGAGAGGATTTTTGTACCATGATGTTATATTGTACAAGATTTTTCATGTTCAACCCGACATAATGACAGGTAGGGGATGAACATGACCTTTTTTGTTGATGAACAAAGTAATAATATTTTAATAATATTTATCATTTCCTTAAAATTTTTATTTGTACTTTTAAGCTGAAAATCCTGAAATATATAAAAGGTTGAATAGAATTGCTATAATTTGGCTGGGATCATTAGATTGTGCATCGCTTGACATCTTGCAGGATAAACTTTAAAGTATTGGTTTGTTCTCCACTGACTTGTAGGTATTCTGCATCCATGCCCCCTACTTGACAAAAGACAATGTAAAAAAAATATGTCTTTGTCCAACCAACTATACAGGGCGTCTAAAAAATAAGTATACACTTTTCATTTTGATTTGCTATCCAGGTACTCATCATAGAGCGTTCATTTCTTCAGAGAACACAATATGGATGAGTTGTAAAATTTAGGTTTTGTTTGCATTTTTCATCAACCCACAGAATGACAAGGAGAGTAACCCAAGATATGAGGTGCAAAATTGCTGATTGGCAAGATGAAAAATGCAAACAATACCTAAATTTTACTACTCATCCATATTGTGTTATCTGAAGAAATGAACGCTCATGATGAGTACCTGAAAAGCAAATCAAAATTATAAGTGTATACTTACTTTTGAGACGCCATCTATGTCGAACTAATTTTCAGCACAAGATTGGTCGGACATTTCATTTGATCTTGTGATGATTGTAGTCATAGCAAAGCTAGTTCTTGAGCAAATTTTTAAATCTAAATCCATATCAACTAATGTACCAATAGTGGTATTCCTTTCAAAATGTCAATCAATTAACTCTATGTTACTTGTTGTCAGATTCAGCCATTGCCAGTACTGTTCTATATCTTGATAAGATAAATATTGATGAAGCAACAGAATTGTCTCTTCCATTGAAAACTGTTGACAAGGAACCTGCTGATATTAAGATCAAGGTAAATTTAATTGAATTGTTGTTTGACGATCAGTTTACAAATTCCCAAATTACGGTCACATACCGATTTAATATGGCCCATCAAACTTGAGTGAAATAGCTTTAAACTTCATGTTTCTACCTTTTTACGTTCCAGATGCCACCGATTATTACGTCATTATCACAGTTTATCATTTATATCATTTTCTTAACTATACGTTTTGGTATTAGGATTACATACTGGTCGTGAATGTCTTTCGGTTTCTAATTTTGTCCCCCAGTCAATTACTTTTGGGAACCACTATTTGAAATCGTCACTTTGAAAATCATTATGTAGTTTTATAATTAAAAGAGGAACATGAAAACTAGGTTCAGATGCATGAAAAGTGTGACCACCCTTTTAGATGCTACAAAACATCGGTATTTAGGTTGTCCTGTTAATCAATGGGTTCCGTACGGAAGTAGAATAATTTTGCTGTATTTTCTTGGAATTTTTTCAGAATATTTTGGTTAAATTCAGATATAAACAATTTTTAAATTATAGGAGTTGACTTGAACTGGGGTAGACATCTTTTTCCATGTTTATTTTCTAGTGCTTTGATATATATTAATGTCGTTTTAGAATCAATTAGATATGTGATCTACAATAATGTAGAAATCATTAGCACATTGTTGTGACCATTTCTAGCACTACAATGCAAATATTTGATTTTTGTTACTTCCAAATGATCTTATTGCACACGCTTGTTACTTCCTAAATTAGCAATTCGCAAAAACGTCCATTAAATTGAGCGGTTCATGATATGAAATTACTTGCTTTCATAGACTTTTCTAATTCAGTAAGTAATGTATGTATAGGAAATGAGCCATGCTTTGATGATAGGCTAAAAATAGCCCTGAGTTAGTTTTATTTTTATTCATTTTGGATGCAACTTTTAATCTGGATTATAATATCATCATTTTGGCTGACCTTGAGTATAAAATTAATTTTAAATAAATTCTGAACATCACTTGGTGAATGGTAAATTAGTGTTATCATAGAAATATTTTCGCTTTTTTTCAATAGTTTTTTCACAAATTTCACTTGGTTGTATTTTGGTTCAATTTGATTATTGATAAAAACAACATTTGGTACTTCCTAGTATATGTACCAGGTTAGGGTTAGGCCAAAATTGTATTCTGTTTAGTGATTTTCCCTAAGCTTTCCGGTTGAACTGAGAACATTTTAATTCTATTACGAGTTCGGGGATTGTCTTTGTTAGCCAAGTTAATATACCCCCTGCCCATAGGTTTCAGTCCCTTTGCTCAACTTTATGTAAAGTAGGCGAACAAAATTAGTTACCTTCATATTGGTATGTACATACTTCTGAAGCATCCAACATTTATCTATGCACTTCAATTGTTGTAGACAGTGGCAATTTAGTCATCCTGAAATTAAGTCTAGTAAATATGTAGTACTGGTTCATTCTTTCCATAAACAAGGTTACAGTGACATTTCTTTCACTGTTTGTTATCTTTCTGCAGCTTGATTTCACCGAAAACCCTGTCGATGTGAACTGTAGCAGAGATTTGTCACAAAAATTTTCATCACCTCGTCGTTCTCTCGATCTTTCTCTCATCAGTAATCATCTGCCGCCTATGACTGATGAAAAGGTATTTTAGTATTTTTATTTTTTATTATATATACTGGCAAGTAAAATGCTTGTTTTGCATTGGGCCTCCATAGTCGTCGCCCAATTTGTGAATTACCATGTGTTTAGGCGTGCTATTTGTACCGGCACCTTTTGTACTCTATATCGTCGTTAAAGACCAAACAGAAATGCTAAATCTTCATTTCAGTAATGCAACATGTGCCAGTCAAGCATATACCATACATGAAATACAACTTAAACACCAAGTAAGATGCTAAATTAACAACTGTCCTGCACACTGGCTGGCACCCACATCATAGATCACAACCTCTTCACTTTGACGAGCATTCCAATTCAATTGAATACAGCAGCAAATAATTTTACTACATTTTAAAATACTGTTGCTTTTTACTCGCATTTTACATTAGTCATTTTAGAATTTTATGTTTTGTTCTCATATTTGACACTTGACAGGCTTCATATTTGAAAGACAGAGCTTCCACTATTTCTTCATTTTCAAGTGACAACTTGTCACTCAGTGGGTGAGTGAATATTTCAAGCAAATTTTCAAGTTGACTAAACTGTGTGGCATCGCAGATAACACATTTTGGGTTCAAGCCTCCGGCATCACCCTGGTTGTAATAAATTAAGTAGGCCTAACCGGAAAGGTTGCATTCCTTCCTAAAAATAATAGCTTTTTACATGTTGTTTGATATCAATGGAAGTTTGTAAATGGCCTTGTTCAAAGCAAATTGCATGATCAAGAGTGTCATAAACAAAACACGTTAACTTTCAAAGTAGGGAAGTTGGGTTTGTTGTCTCACACATTTGAAAAATATATCATCAACATAGTGTCATATATTTTGAAATCCCAAGGTTCTGCAACTCATTTATTCTAGATAAAGAGTTATAAATATGATGTTGTAATGATTGGTAATATTTGAATAGTTATATTGTACACTATGAGTCTATGACACAGGTTTGAATTCTTAGAATATTAATTATGGATTGCTTCTGTTGTAAAAGTTGTTTCAAGGGAATTTCTCATGCTTTACAATAAATAGTTGACAAAATTCTGATCCCATATATAGCGCTACATAAATTCACTTTTTTTGCAGTTCTCAAAGGGATACCTCTCCAAGCACAACTGTACGTACTGAAACAACCAAAAAAGTTTCACCAAAAAGGTAGGATGATCATTGAAATTACTAGTCTAGAACAGTGATTCCCAAAGTGGGCGATATCGCCCCCCGGTGGGCGGAAACGATACAGAGGGGGGCGATTTTGCGAAACCCAGTTTTGTTCGACGCATTGTGCACTTGATTACTGTGCTCTGCATGTTTTCGTTGGTTTGAATCACGTGGGCACGCAAAAGGATTGCTGCCGTAAGGCACAGTAGTTTGAGTATTTCAGTGGTGGACAAAATACAGTCAGAGTAAAATAATCTGGCCCGGGACGCTTCACTGAATGGACCTTTCCCGACCTTTGACCCCGGAAAATTCTTCCTATTCTTTATCATTTTTTAATTTTTGGTGCTTATTTTAAGAGTGGTTTCGCGAGTTGTCGCCTGTAAAATGAGGTATTTTCAACTATCATTCTAATTCATACCTTTCAACAATCTGTTTTTTAAAATTACCGGTAAAGAATTGTAGCCTAGTCTATCACAGCTATTTTCACTCTAATTTTTGATTACTGCAATTAAACTGAAACTCCTAGGAAGACAAAGTGATCATTGAATTATTTGATTTCTTTTTAAATTCCAACTAAAAACTGACGAATCTAATTCAAAAACCGAGAAATTGAGGTAATGTTTACGACCACGCCTGAAAATCTGTCTGAGCGGATGCGAAAGGGGGCATTGTTACGTTTATTTTTGCATTTTGCTGATTGGCCCATGTCGCGAAGTAAACAAGGAAGTCTATGCCCGGGGAAAATCCAATATAAAGACAAAGCGGCGTTTTGATGATGAATTAATTTTATTTATAATCTACGCTCGAGAGTAAATTACATTTTTTACGTAACAGAATTCATCGTGAGACACGTTTAGACTAAATTATATTATATCCTAACAATTTAGTGAACAGCTACTCGTTTAACGATCCTACAATTTAATTATGATCAGACAAATGGCAACACGCGGAAAAGTCGATGCTGAGTGCAGGAGGTTCAATATCGCAGTAAATATTCAAATATATAGCAATGCAATAAGGAAATAAAATCCATATTCTATTCGAGAGATTCATCACTGCTTAATTTTTGTAAGAATGTATCTTCTTAAGGAAAATATTTATCAAAATAACATGCAAAAATATTCACTTTGATTTTTGGAAGTACATATTTGTGCGAACACTTATTTTCGAAAATGAACAAGGAACTAGGATTAGTGATGCCTATTTAGAAATTGTTCTTTGGCGTCGTAAGGCTATTATTAAGCGTGATGCAGCAACAAGACAGTGTCACATCAAATGTCATTGTAATAATTTTTTTAATAAGACGAATGAGTTCAAGAATTGTCGCAGTTTTCGCGCGCTGTTCCGTTTTTAACTTTCAAAAAATATATGCGACTCGCAAAACACTAGCAACCCGTGATTTTGTCCCGCGAGCGACATAAAATTTGCCGACTCCTGGGCCGTAGCCGATAGACGGTCACGGCTTTTTCCACATCCGAGTCCACGAATCTAAACGAATGGATTAATTCTATGGACTGGTGATCGGACTGGAGGCCATGGTAGGATGAGGAATCGATGATGAATTTTACGGAAGATCTTTATATATAATGTACTTTGGTGCAGGTCATCAGGCTGTAGGGATGAATGAGATGTACGAAAATCATTATTAAAAGTTTGGGAAAATTAACTTTGTTTTCATTATTTTAATGAGAAATGGGGTGAATTCAGAGAGTTGAAAGCTATAAGGCAAGTACACGGCGGTTTTTGAGGAGGTACAACCCTGGATCCTTTCATTTCCGACTCTCATGTGGTGAAAAAGGGGTTTTCAGCCGTGCTACTATTGCTATCAAAACAACGAAATCGCTTTTTCATCAGTAAACGGGGTGATTTTGGATTGTGTCTGGCGAAAATGTCACCAAATAATGAATAAAACTCACTGAAGAACAAGCTCATCCATCTCATTAAAAAACACTATAAAATATGATTTGTCTTCTTATTTGGTCTGTAATATATTCGTTTCTGACTTCACTTTTTTTTGTTGTGCTGGGGAGCGATGAAGTTGTATAAACTACTGTAGGGGGGCGATGGTACAAAAAGTTTGGGAACCACTGGTCTAGAACATAATATAATGTCGAATATTGCAAAAAAAGACAATTATAAGCAAATTTCTGAAGCCGCTTCAGAAGTGTGTGTACCAATATGGAGGTAACTAATTTTGTTTGCCTACTTTACACAACTTCAAGTTGTGTAAAGGGACTGAAACCTATGTGCAGGGGATATATTCACTTGGCTGACACAGACAGTCCCCGCACTCGTAAGAGAACTAAAATGAGTAAAATTGGAATAAAATTATGGCCTAACCCTAACCTGGTACAGGAGTACCTTTCTGAAATCTGATCTGCTTTTATACTGACCTTTATGGTTATCGTTTTTTCTAGAACATCAGACAGAGAAAATATTCATATCAGTAAAAATGCTCCAAATATGAAGGAAAATATTGGACTGGAGTTGACTCTAGGTAATGATAATTCTAATGCTTATTCAATTTTTATTTCAGTTTAGGAATTGTTAATATAAGAAATAAGAATTATATTATGTAGGAATTCTGTTTTGAAAATTATTTAAGTTGAAGCATTCGAAGTGAATCAAATTTTGCCATATGAAATTAAAAAAAGCTCCTCAAAATTTTTTTTCATTAAAGTTGATTCGTTTTTAATTCATTCAACTTATTAATTTTGAAATATTCTGTCCTAGTAATAGGTATCGTTGTTACATAATATAATAATAAATATTTCGTCTTTATCGAGTAGTCTATGCCAAGCTGGGAAGGTTCCAGTCTTTGCAAAATTCAGTTTCTTACAATGTCTACTCTTATAAGCCTGGTTCGAAATAAATTATGTGCAAAATTAGTCAGAATGTTGTCTCATTGAATGCTTGTAATTCTGTTTGTAACGCTTTTAAAACAAACTTAATGAACATTGACAGATGTGGCAACAGTGGAAGGATCAGTGGCTGAAACAGTTATGAACGATCTTTCTAAAGACTTGAGTTGTAAAGTGGCTGAACCAAGTCCTGAAGTGAAAGGAAAAATCAGAGGAAAAGTGGTTATAACTGCAATAAAGAAGGTTTGAATTTTGTTTTATTGATAAAATAATATTTTATAATTGATTTGCCTATGTTAGGTCCATTTAAAATGAAAAAAATATCTGAATAAATTTGTAATCAGCCATATTTTCTTACTTGATGCAATTATGAGAAAAGGCTGCAGAAAATGAATAAACAGTAAAAAAGTTACTCAAAATTTCTGTATTAGCAACCTTTTATTGCGAATAAGGCTCAGTAATGAGTTTTATTCTATTCAAATTCAGTTTGTAATTGCCTTTCCTGTTTTGATAGTTATTTTGTGTTCTTATCTCGTGGTCGTTGACTGTTTGTTTACAATTTCCATGCATCCGTAATTGCTATTAGAAATTCAGTTTATATAAGTAAGCTGTGTGCTGATGTGGATCGGCAGGATGACTCATCTTGTGAAACATTAGGAATGCGTTGACATCGCACCTTTGACCTGCTTGCGTGGGTTTGCAGTTTCAAATACAATGGGGGATAGTTATGTGAGAGACAAAGGCTGGACTCCTCATCGTTGTATGATGGTTCATGTTACAGCTGGTCAATTATGCCTTCTTCCACCATCAAGTCCATGCATCTGAAACAAATACTAACTGGCTAACTTATCGGTTTCCCTTCCCCCTGGGATAATATGAAAATTCTATCTCGAATATGTGTTTATATATAGACCAACATCGAAAGTGATGCTGATACCGAAGTACAACCAATAACCAATGGGCATGAAGAAAACACAAGTGATGCAGAGAATGTTAAGAAAACAGAAAAACTGGCAACAGGAGATGACATGTATTATAGTTTGAGTTCTATTGAAACACCGACAAGTTCTGGAACTACTTCTCCTAGAGATGAGGTTGTAAATAAAGGCGAGTTTGATAATGACCTTTTTCCCTGGTGATCAATGTAAATCAACAATTCTTTATTAATTGTCTTTTCCCTATATCATTATTTCAAATAACCAAGGAAAGGTCACAGCATTTGATGTGAGCAAAATTTCAACTTGATATTGAAGTCATAGGTATCTTTTATAGTTCGTTTTCATATGATATGCCACACAAAGTGGTTAATGCATTACTCCAGCTAAATATCTTGAGATAGACATTTTGTATTTATACAAGCAAAGCAAAAAATCTTACTCCGGGCCGGGGATGAGTGATTCAGTTCTATGAACTTGTAGTATCTCTTTAAATTAAAGGTTTAACGGTAATTCTGCAGATCATCGCTGTTCATATCTGAAACATCTAACATAAACATTTTTTCATTACAGAACCGAAACAACCGGTTGTTGAGGTGGAACAGCCACAGGAACAATCGATAGATTCTGTGAAACCGAAGAAGAGACATTTAAGAAATAGTAAAAGACCAAAAAGCTTGGTCTCTGGAGTGGAAGCCAAACATATTCCTGAAAACAATGAAACAAAGGAGTGTGAGTTAGATTTTCAATATCATCTGTCTTTATTCGGCATCATGTCTCATTTTTATGTTTTTTCATCGGCACTCCAGAAGTATGTGTACCATTATGGGGGTAACTAATTTTGTTCGCCTATTTTACATCAAGTTGTGTAAAGGGACTGAAACCTATGGGCAAGCGGTATATTCCCTTGGCCAACACAGACAGTCCCCGAACTCGTAACAGAACTAAAATAAAGATAATCAGAATAAAATTATGGCCTAACCCTAACCTGGTACACATACTACAGGAGTACCCTTTTCATCAATCTACAGCATATGCATATAGCCATTGCTCTACCATTGCTAGTGCTACCAAAGTCATTGCTCTTATATATTTTATGTTAATTTATAGTGGTAATTTATGTTAGAATTGTAGTTCTGTATTTGTATATCTTAAATCAGATGTGCATGATGTTGATATATAGCATAGTTACCCTAGTCAGAAAGATGTTTTCATAGAAAAATAATTTATGACAATTTGACTATCCTTGGTTCCATGTCTTTTCTTACGCTATAATCATATGTGACCTGTATCCGAGGATGTTTCAATGAAGTAAGAAAAATTTATAGCTTTCAAAAAAAAAAAATTTCATTCCACTTGATACAAATTTCGCTAGCATAATCTAGCTCAGTCCGTTTCAGTGTTATATTGTAATTCTGCCCTTTTCTTACCCTAACCAGGAAAACTGCATCAAACCTGAAGCCTTTCTATCAGAAAATTTTCAGGTCACTTGTCACGGTGGTATGCAGTTTGTGTTATATATTGTGTAGAAATCGTAATGTAGATATTGTAGAAATAGTTGGTGTAATTCATCCATCATAATTAGGGCCGAAAGTACGACGCAGCAGAAGTCTGATATTCGGAAAAGGGAAAAAGAAACAATATAAAACCGGATCTGCAACTGATTTGCACAAGCATGCAAGTATGGTGCAATTCTGCAATTTTTGGCAATCTTTTTTTTTCTCATTTTGTGTAGATTTAGTATTTGTAATTAGCGAGTAGTGCAGCGGTTCTCAATCTCTTTTTTTTTCGTGGCGCATTCTCATTCAACAATGATTCTGGGGCATCATTAACTTTTTTATGCAGAGGAAAAACAATCTTCCTGCGAAAATGGACACTTTTACAATAATAATTAGGATGAAAATTACAATGATTCTGGGGCATCATTAACTTTTTTATGCAAAGGAAAAACAAAATCTTCCCACTAAAATGGACACTTTTACAATAATAATTATGATGAAAATTACCCCTCAGTAGCAGAAAACAGCATCATCATTCATTGCTGCTACAATTAAAATTTAACTATTGTGACACAACGAAACTAGCAATTTTTAATAGATCTGTGGTCCAACTCAAAATGTTTCCGTGGATCAGCTGTGGGCCATGGCCCACTGGTTGAGAACCGGTGGAGTAGTGTGTAGCATGTTCATGTAATTCATCATGAAATCATTGCCTGTGCTCATGTTATGTGTGTTGACGTATATTATATAATAATCATATTTGAATATCAAGATGATATAAATTTTCTATTTCAGTAACCTATTTTGCAACAATATGATATGTATTCAATTTTATTCGTAAAAATTCATTCCCATAAAATATGAATTTTTTTTTATCTCTGTGGACAAAATTTTCTAAACATTTTTGAATAGCTTCTTTATACATCCTTTTGTGTTAAGATGGCTCACTTAATGTCTGCTACAGTGTGAAAGTGTGATAATCTGGACTTTTCGGCTTACATATAATTAGCCATGAATTTCTCACAGATATATCTAAAAAGTGTGATAATCTGGAAATTTGGGCTTGCATATAATTAGCCATGATTTTCTCACAGATGTAAAGGATGATAATGCTTCCAATGGTTTTGAAGATGATAATACAGTTGTAGTACCTGAGAATGAACTACAAAAAAATAAGAAGAAAAAGAGCAAAAGTATCACCAAGATATTTTCGAAATTGGGAAGAAGGCCTTCAATTAAGAAGACGAGGAAAGACTCCGGTATCTCTTTGGATATTTGAATACATTAAATAATCCTGTCAACAAAATAAACAACAGAATTTTCACTTCCAATCTAATGTTTCTAAAGGCTTCCATTTGATCATTTTCAATGAGTTTGAGATTAATATGTTTCTTCATGTTTTGACTTGGTTCAAGATTTCTTTAGGGAAAACTAATTTTCTGAAAGTATTGAAAACCAACTCATCTTTGAACTGTGATGCCAACAAGCTCAAATTTATGACATGTATTTGTGGATATCTTTTATTGTAGCTGTCTATGATCCTTTTTGTGATGACCTAGGGCAGTGTTCTTCAACCTTTTTTATTGAAGTATATCTTTTACAGTTTTTCAAGAACTTTGTATACCTTCACAAATACCAATGTTTATTTAAGGCTCAAATAAACAATAAAATTTAGGCACATATTGTACTGCAATATCATCATGCAATCTAATAGGCTGGTGACCGCAAGTTATAAATTTGACTGACTGACTTAGCGTCGACGGGAATGATATTCGACGTAAATCAAAGTGCATGGCAGCCAAAATCACCAACCCAGACACATGACCGTATTATCTATATAATTTGTGATGTAACAACGTGCTCTAGTCGGTTCCTAGCGTTAATAACATTTTATATTTCATGTGCGCAGCGTTTGCATTGTTGTCTCCAATTGAATAATTTATTATATATATTAGAGTTTAGATTTCCTGACTTAGGCTGTACACCTTTCGTATACCCTTTATCAGTTGTATACCCAACTTATGGTCTGGTACACCCGGTTGAAGAGCACTTAACTAGGGGTTAGATCGTTGTGTCTGCAGATTAAAAATCTTTTGTTCATACCATATGCTAACAATTTTCTCACCCAAAGTGTATTTGTTAAAGTGAAAATTTGTAAAAACACTTCATACAAAATAATATACATATTTATCAATAGCTTTCATTTCAATTTCTATAATTCTTATTTCAGACATTGTGGAAGGTGAAATAAGTTTTGTAGAAGGAGGAAAAAGCTCAAGAAACAACAGTTTGAATAATCCAGGAGAAACAGAAGAACACAAAAACATTCTCATAACTCCTCCTGAGAAACCAGGATCTTCTGTCGGCAGCGAATCTGAATCTTTCATCTCAGATGCAACTGCCACTCCATCCTTATCGAACTCATTCAATTCTTCATTAACTGATGATAAATCTATCAAAAGGAGCAAAAGTCTGAGGAAACGGTTGTTTGGAGGAAAAAGAAAGACAACGAAGAATTGAATGAAATGTTTCCATGATTCACTCATTTTCTGTCAATCATGTTTTAAAAACACATTTGGGAGAAGGGCTAAAAAACGAGAGATTCAAATCATACTGAATTCGAAATTTTCACAAACTCATTACAGAGCTCATTTACTTTGTATATGAAATAGCAAAGATGAAAATTCACTGTTCAACAGTCGCGTAATAACTGATAGCATACTCAAGAAGATCATTTTTATAAACACATCATGTAACTTGTATCCATTTTGTATCTAAAGATAGCTTCCTGCAACATATAACTACGTTAGAAAGATGAAAGTTCACATTGCAAAACAAGAATGTAAAAACTAGTAATATACTAAAATTCACCAACATTCTACACAGCATTTACACTGTTCAACAATAGTGTAATAACTGGTAACATACTTGGGAGCAGGGATGGCCAATACCGAATAGTTCACTATTTCGAATACATTCGAAATTATTTTTTTCGAATATGAAATTTCGAATACTTCGAAAATAAAATCCACTAATTGAAGCTTATCTAAATGTATGTAGGAATTTCCATACAATAAGCAATGGAATAACTGCTATCTACAAGTTACAACCTAGCTATATTACCAGGCATTTCATATTTGCAGATTATTGCAGTATATATTTTATATACCATGAGTCATGTTAACAGAATTAAATTAATACGGCAATAGTGGTATCGATGATGGATTTGAATATTTGCGCAACACAAAATCATCTTAGTAAAACGCCCATGCTTTTAAATACCAACCATTATCCAAATTGTTTGCCAAAAAGCGGGATAAAGTATGAGCTATTTTTCCGACTTGTGACAATTTTTTCGTTGGTACAAAAATATGAATCAAAAATTAATTATATTCGGAAACTTTACCACACATTTTAAGTCCGCAGATCGCCGTTGTATGTTTGAGTAATAATACTTTTATTATTTTATAAATATGAAAATAGAAATCAAAAACTATTTACCACACATTCTAAGTCCACAGATCGCCGTTGTATTTTGTAAATACGAAAATAGGAATCAAAAATTAATATTAATCGCGAGTTTGCCACACAATTTATGTCCACAGATTGCCGTGATATTGTGCCGAATACAATTAGTTTTTGATTCTTATTTTCGTACTCACGAAAAATTGTCACAAGTCGGAAAAAGAATTTATACTTTTTCCCGCTCTTGGGAACTAATTTGGATAATGGTTGCCATTGGTTTGTATTTAAAAGTATGGACATTTTACTAGGATGATTTTGTGCTGCGCAAAATATTCGAATCCATGACCGATACCACTATTTAAAATGGGTTACCGTGTTAATTTAATTCTATTATCATAACTCGAATGTTGGTAAATCGGGCAGTTTACCACACATTTTAAGGCCACAGATCGCCGTTGCATTTTAGAATTATAATAGTTTTATTATTTTGTAAATACCAATCCGAAATTAATTATAATTGGGCAGTTTACCACATATTTCATGTCCACAAATACCCGTGGTATTTGGCATTTATACTATCATTATTTATCAATATAAAAATAGGAGTCAATGTTTAATAATATCGGTCAGTTTACCACACATTTTATGTCCACAGATTGTCGATACAACCATGAGTTACGTTGAACAGAATTAAATTAATACCGCATGACATTTTAAATGCTGGTACCAGTCATGGATTGGATTATTTTGCGCAACGAAAAATCATCCTGCTAAAGGATCGATACTTTTAACTATCGTTATCAAAATTATTTGCCAGAAATTATTTTCTAATAAATCGACTTGTTTTTCCAAGTTGTGACAATTTATTGGATATCGTAACAATGACGGCTATAAATACCGTATTTCCCCGGCTAACAAGTCCACATGGAAAATAGGACGATGTCTATTTTTAGCACTCAAAAAAGGGTTTTTCCATATAGGCCTCCAATAAGACGGGTAGAAAAATTGTGTCTCTGTTGTTCAGTTATGCTTATATGCGCTAATAATTTTATATGTTTAGAACCAGATCATGTTAGTTTGGTAGAATCATACTCACAGAGTTGACTATTTTTCAACAATTGAGCGATAAATTTAAGTTGTGAAGCGGCAATCATTTTGGACAACCTATTAACCCGAATGTTGAAATAAAAATAATTTTAGAATGTGATAAGTACTACACTGTACGTCCAAGGGTTATTTCACAGCTGCGTTTTTCTGTCCCTGTCGTGTTCTGCTGAATCGGCAAAACGAAAGGGTCACAAATCACTTTATCTCATTGGCCGTGTTTCTCTTTAAAGTAACGATAACCGGCCTGCGATAAAATATCATGATCGGCAGACCCTAAGACCCAAATATAAGGTTACACAAATCATGTTTGAGAACGCTCATGCGAATAATAAGCAGGCCACATAGAAATAAAATAAACATACTTTCTCAATTAGACGCCCCCCCTAAAAAAAAGAAATCAGGCCGACAAATTGGGCCTAAAAAAGCGACTTATTAGCCGGGAAATACGGTATTTGTCATTTTTTCGACGTAATGTAAATTAATTTGTAAATTAAAAGCCTCGTAGACAAATGTAGGCAATGTCCACCCACGCAAACACTATGCGACGTACGGTCGCACAGAATATAAACAATCAAAGTGCCGATTCTATTTCATCGTCGTTACAATACGTGAGACAGCGTAAAAAGTCGTTTGAAGATTCCCGTTAAACGAAACACCACGTTTATGGCGAAAAATGGCTACTATTCGGAATTATTCGAAAATCGGCCGAAAAGATATTCGAATACTTTGATATTCGAATACATTCGAATATTCGATTCGTTTTGGACAACCCTGCTTGGGAGGAAATTAATTTTTCTGAACTCATCATGAAACTTATATATTCATTTTATATCTGAGAATAGCTTCATGCGGCATATAACTGTGTTAGAAAGATGAATGTAAAAACTAATAATTCACCAAAAATTCTACACAGCAATTACATTGTTAAACAGTAATGGAATAACTGATAATATACTCAAGAAATTTGGTTTATAAACTCATCATGGAATTTATATATTCATTTTGTTCCATGAAGCACAGAATCATGTCGCAAAGATGAAAGTCCACGCTGTAAAACCGTAATGTAATAATTGGTAATATATCCAAGAAATTTATCAAATCCTAAACAGAATTTAACATATGAACTTGTTCACTTCCAATATTTTTATTTAGAAAAATCAACATATTGTACATATTCCTTGCTTATAAAGGTATCGGTATAACAAGCCTAGATTATTACTTGTAGTTTTATTGAGTTTGCATCAGTACATTTATTACAGATAGGAAAGCCTAATAAGGCTTTTGTTTTATACTTGTATGCTGTTAATAAATTAATGGTATGTGCCATCATGAAATTTATTGTGTATCATGGTTCAATATAGTAATAGCATAATGAAGACAATTGCAGTATCAAACTTATCAAATAAGTAAATAGTAAGCTCCACTTATGATAAAGAAAGCTCATGTTTTTGTTTTCTGTTCTAAAAATACAGAAATTTTTGATTAAAATGAACAAATTGATATTTTTTGCTTCATCTATGAATTGTTGCACAATAACATTATTTTTCCGTAATTCTCTCCGAATATTTCCTTGCTTGAAATTCTGTTTTGTGTTTCATTTTTTTTTTATTACCAACATATTTCTGTAACACATTATTTGGAAATATGTTTATTATAATCTCAGTGAATTTCCATTGATCATGTTGACATATTTGATTCAACCGTACTTTTTTCTATATTTTTGTGTTATCAAATAATCGTGCCATCATTTTATATCTTAGTAAATCTTCCTTACGTCGTTTTCAATAATATACAAGGCATTTTGACAGATTAACAGTGTAATAGTATACGGTAATTTTCACCTCACCACTGTACTACCAGGGTTGTCCAAAACGAATCGAATATTCGAAATTATTCGAATATCAAAGTATTCGAATACCTTTTCGGCTCATTTCCGAATAATTACGAATAGTAGTCACTTTTCGCCGTAAACACGGTGTTTCGTTTTACCGGAATCTTCAAACGACTTTTTACGCTTTCTGGCGTATTGTATTGACGATGAAATAGAGTCGGCATTTTGATTGTTCATATTCAGCGCGAATGTACGTCGCATAGTGTTGCGACACATTTGCACGTTTGCGTTGGTGAACATTGCCGACATTCGTCTTTTAATTCACAAAATCATTTCCATTAGTCGAAAAATCGACAATCACCGTATTTCCTGGCTAATAAGTCGCTTATGCTTTTCTAGACCCAATTTTGGCTTGATTTTTTGGGGGGTGGGGCGCCTTATTGAGAAAGCATGTTTATTTTATTTCTATGTGGCCTGCTTATTTTTCGCATTAGTCTTCTCAAGCATAATTTGTGTTAACCTTATATTTGGTTCTTATGGGTCTGCCAATCATGCTATTTAATCGTAGGCCGGTTATCGTTACTTAAAGGAGAAAACACGGCCACCGCCACCGAGATAAAGTAAGTGATTTATGACCCTTTGGTTTTGCCGATTCAGCAGAAAATGACAGGGACATGAAACACAGCTGTGAAATAACCCGTGGACGTACCGTGTGGAACTTATTCACATTCCAAAATTATTTCAACATTCGGGTTGATAGGTTGTCCAAAATGATTGCCGCTTTATAATTTAAATTTACCGCTTCGTTGTTGAGAATAGTTAATTCCGTGAGTATGGTTCTACCAAACAAACATGATCTGGTTCTGTTCTGACCCTATAAAATTATAGATTGTTCAAAATGATTGTGATTTTTAACTTAAAATTACCGCTTTATTGTTAAAAATAGTTAATTCTGTGAGTATGATTCTACTAAACAAACGTGATCTGGTTCTAAACATTATTATTAGCGCACATTAGCATAACTGAACAACAGGGAACAATTTTTCTACCCGTCTTCTTGGAGGCCTATATGGAAAACCCCCTTTTTTTGAGTGCTAAAAATATACATCGTCCTATTTGCCATGTAGACTTATTAGCCGGGAAATACGGTATTTATAGCCGTAATTGTTACGATATCCAATAAATTGTCACAAGTTGGGAAACAAGTTGATTTATTAGAAAAATACTTTCACCCGCTTTCTTGCTAATAATTTTGATAATGATGGTCAAAAGTATCGATAATGATAATTAATACCGATCGATAATGAATACCAAATACCACGGGTATTTGTTGGCATGAAATGTGTGGTAAACTGCCCAATTATAATTAAATTCGGATTCGTGTTTACAAAATATTAAAACTATTATAACTCAAAAATACAACGGCGATTTGTGGACTTGAATGTGTAATAAAGTATAAATTATTTTTCCGACTTGTGACAATTTTTTCGTGAGTACGAAAATAGGAATCAAAAATTAATTATATTCGGGCACAATATCACGGCATTCTGTGGACATAAATTGTGAGGCAAACTCGCGATTGATATTATTCTTTGATTCCTATTTTCGTATTTACAAAATACAACGGTGATCTGTGGACATTGAATGTGTGGTAAACTACCCGATTATAAATAATTTTCGTATTTATAAAATAATAAAAGTATTATTACACAAACATACAACGGCGATCTGCGGACTTAAAATGTGTGGTAAAGTTCCCGAATATAATTACTTTTTGATTCGTATTTTTGTACTCACACAAAATTGTCACAAGTCTGAAAAAGAACTCATACTTTATTCCGCTTTTTGACAAATAATTTGGATAATGGTTGGCATTTAAAAGTATGGGCGTTTTACTAGGATGATTTTGTGTTGCGCAAGCATTCAAATCCATCACCGATACCACTATTTAAAATGCCTTGTCGTATTATTTTAATTCTGTTAATTAACACAACTCATGTTAAATAAAATATATATCGCAATAATCTGCAAACATGAAATGCCTGGTAATATAGCCAGGTTGTAAATAGAAGTTTTCCCACTGTTTATTGTATAAAAATTCCTTCATACACTTAGATTCTATTACTGGATTTTAATTTCGAAGTATTCGAAATTTCATATTCGAAAATAATAATTTCGAATGTATTCGAAATAGTGAACTATTCGGTATTGGCCATCCCTGTGTACTACACAGTGTATCCATATTCACGAATGTTGCCGTACCCACCAATACCATACAAGTGTTGTTTATTCATAGTGTGGTACTTCAGTTGATCATTTATTTATACAGCATTATTTGCTCACCCTGGCTAGGTCTGTTCTTTTTTATGTAGCATTAACTTTATTCAAACAAATAGAAAATATCTACCATAGTTTTTTGTTGAACCAGCATACAATTTATCTTTTATGGCTCCATTTCGGTTATAGTGAGCTGTACATTGTAAACAGTTATTATTTCTCTTTAATTTCAGTTTTAATTGAGAATGATGCTTTAATTTCAGCAAAATTGAATTTGCTGGGAGTTTTTTGGCTGTAAATAACTTGACTCGAGCATGTGCTATTGAAATGACTATGACTATGAAACTCCTTCGATTTAGGTTTTTAAATTAGTATCGATATTATCAAATTGTCTCTGACCAACATATGACATTTTCAAACAAATATTTGAATATGAATCTCTGCGATGTACCAGTATCAAAAAGATTGGTATGTCAATTTACTTGTTTAAGTCATACCTCCACATTGCCATCAATACAATGTCCTAAACTGAAATATTTGTGTAATCATTTAATCAATTCTTGATTAAATTCATTTTATAGGTGATTTTGAAATATTTCTGATTCAAGTTATACTTTTATCATCGTAAAATGATATTCACTGGTCTGTGTCAAAATATTATATTTTAATTTCATATCTCATACGAAGGCTATTCAATGAAACTGTGTTATGACCACATTAATCACTGTACCTAGTTTTTCATTTCATGAATCTGGCTGGTATTCATTTAATTCAGCAATATTTCCATCATTTGAATCGCCATTCTTGTTGGTCTCCACTAATTACTGTATAAGACCACTGCAAAGCGAAAATTTCAAATAACTAGAAAAATGAGCGCAACTTATTCATATTTATAATAATATCATGTAGGTGTCCTTATTTCTGTATCAGCTTAATCTATTACGTACTTTGCACTTTAAATGAAATTCAGCTTTCAATGCTTCTCTAATTGGTACTTTATTATAGGAATTTTCCATTGGTATACACTGTATTTCTATGAATACAGTTATTACATTGTGTTATTTATTCATGTGTTAGATATGTAGATGAATGGACTTAAAGTTAGTCATTTCAGTGGGATAAACCGAATCCTGAGCGACTGTTTTTCATCTAAAAAAAAAACATCGCTCTAATGTGTAATTGTTCATTTTTTGTTTTCACTGTAGACCTTTTTTCTTTGTGTGTATTTTGAATATGCTCCCGCTGCAGTTCTTTTTGCATTTTAATGATATTGCTTTACTGTAAGATTAATGTAGAATCATTCCATTTAGTGTATTATTGTATGATACTGATGCTTAAAAAAATCTTGATTAAAATGGAGCAAATCTTATAAGTGATCATTCAATTGTATTGTGACAAATTAACACTGCAAGGCATCAAAGCTATTTAAAATACTGGAATGGGTGAATAGTGGACGCACCCATTATTACCCTGCGTGGATCAAATTCTGTGAGAGGTGATTATGTGCGAGAGGATTGCTGGACTCCTCGGATGCGTCTTGTAACCGCTAGTCGGTTATAGCTTTTTCCACGAAGTCCACGCATCTAAAACAAATAACTGGCTAATTAATCCCATATCCGACATGAACTAGTAGCCCAGCCAGAGACCGTGGTACGTCATCTTATCGGCTTTCCTCTCCCCCATCCTGGGACAAAATCTTATCCTGTTAGTGTGTTCCAGTCTTAGGCTACTCTAAAATCTAATAAATCAGCATCTTGCAACGCAGCATACGATGTACACCTTTTTGTTATTAGGTTTTAGCTGTTGAACATGAGCTAAATTATTTTTTAGGGATTTTTTTTCCTACGTCTCAAATAAGTTAGATGAGCAGATTGACAATGAGCCATCTGCTAAGAGTCTAATTACCCTATACTATAGGAGAAAAACTTTTTGTCGCTCAGTTAATTTCACTCACGACTGATTACTACGCTTTACAAGACTATAAACCAATAACCTAAATGTCACCTCATTTCTTTCCTGAAAAATCGGCGTCAGGTGTAATGACTCTCTTACTAACATGTTGCCTCTGGGCCATAACGCTCACGTATTTCGTCTACTGTCTTGGTGATCCTTTGTTAATCTATCTTGTATTCACTTTGTGTAGTATCGAGCAATCTTCACACATGTCTTTTGATTTTAGAAAGAAGTTCTCGACCATTGCAACATAGTAGGAAGGCAAAAGCGAAGGAGGTGTGTTGTTCAAAAATTTAGTTATTAGATAATCCTTTCTCCCGCCCATATTTGTCTATGTTCATCTACATTCTACAACATATGCTTGCGAAACTAAAGTATCGTATTGATCTAAAGAGGAACCACTTGGATTTTGTTTATCGTTGCTGGTATTCACCTTTGAATTTTGTTGAAAAATACCGCTATAAATGTTAATATATAATAGTTTCACCAAAACTGGTTCTTTCAAAGGTTTCACAGTTAATTTCCGAAAACGTCTGAAATCATAAGTCTTATATATATACATTTATGACGTGATAAAAACGGTCCCCGACAATAATTATGCATTTATGATATTGTATCAAATGCTACAATGGGTAACAGTGACATAGCCACTGTTTTTGAAATTTCACAGCATAATTACGTCAAAGAAATAATCAAATGAAAAAATAGCATTATGTAGTATATATTGCACTTCTTTGAAATATCAAAACGATTCAAAATTAAAAATATATCAACAAATTATACTGTATATCTCCTCAATATAATATCAAGCACGTTTGTATAATTTATAATCCGTTTTTATATTTGGAAATATAAACATTGCGTTGAATAGCATCAAGTCATACTTTCTGAACAACCTTCATATGTCCTGTCCAGGATCCGGATATCGATAATATAAAATCATACAACGGTATTTCATATGGATTTATTAAATTTTCTTCTTCAATGTACGTAGGGTATTCAGAATATTATCACCAGGAATCATTAATAACGTTGATATTTGTTTGGATATATATAAATAAGTGAAAAGAACAACATAAACAAACAAGTACGAACAAGGAATCTGGTCCCCAACTATTATCCAGAAAATGTTCACGTACAATATTACGCGTAAAATAATGATTGCATAAGATGTTTTGTTAAATATATTTTGCAAAACTTTCATAATTTGTGTTGTGAGTTCTATTGCATCTGACAAAGCACCCCTCAGGTTGTCAACCGTAGTATCGATCTTTTCTTTGTCTACGAACCAACCAACGATTCCGGGTATCTTGAGAGGACTGTGCTCACCCCGAGTTGAAGAAGACGGTTGATTATTTAGCTTGAAGGTTACGGGATAGCCCATTGACAAAACGAACTCCAGAATAGCGCTGTTTATGTACAGCAGGGCTGTAAGTTGAGACCATTCCACGAAAAATGCGATAACGAACAAATCCAGCATGAATATTCCAAACGAAAGTTTTTCTCTCAAAACGCATTTTTCAATTGAATAGGGGATGATCAATCCCGAGAATAATATAATTATCCATATCCACATTACATCAATCTTCGTAAATTCTATTCTGTTTAGTGATATCCACAATACACTGTTTTTTGCTTTGATACACGATCCATGTAACACGGTTACGGCTATTAATCATTTACCTCAACTGCAGTGTATATATCGGAATTGAGTTATTAAGGTGTATGAGTGAGCAAATATTTGTCTAGAGTTTGACATTGTGTGTCGTTTGGGTCTAGGTTACAATACAACCTAACGCCTGATTTTTTCAAAAGCTGCGTTCTCCGCTTGCCACACCTATTGTTTCCTTACCGGTCCCAGTCCTACTTCTCATGTTCAACCGCTGCCCCTTTCTGCATCTTCTCGCAAACTGTCTTCTTCGCCTACCTACTTAATAAGCCTGTCTGATTTAATACCAATCTCTCTATTACTCCTTCCTCATCATGTTAACCCCACTCGCTTTCATCTAACCAAGCCACACTACAATCTGTCTTGGTACTTCCGTAATTTGTGTACCAGGTTAGAGTTAGGTCATAATTTTATTTCGATTTTCCTTATTTTAGTTCTATTACGAATTCTGGGACTGTTTGTGTTAGCCCCTTCCCATAGATTTCAGTCCCTTTACACAACTTGATGTAGGGTAGGCGAACAAAATTAGTCCCCTCCATGTTGGTACACACATATCTGGCGCGCCTCTGTCTTTGTAACTTTATTGAACAAGGCTTTCCATGTGTCGTTATTGTAAATTATTTCACGGTATTAGGTAGCTTAAATATAAACAGATAGCGATTGCGTTTCTTCTTCCGCAGTAAACGGCATTTGTTTCCAACTCTGAATTCTACTTTTCTGGATATTTCTGATCTACCATGACACTTCTCTCAACCTGGCTTACTCGTTACCGCGACCGTAATCTATCTGACTGACTTTTGTTATATGCGGAAGTATTATTGTTCCTATTAAAATATAGTTACGATTGCATAGGTTATAAGCAATGTTTGAATATTTGATATTCTGTAAATGTTCAGTTTGTCTTATTCAAGCTGTAACTGGGCCAGGAATCGTAAATCAAGCGCCGCCAATTCTTGATAAAGAATAATTTGAAATTTATCTTAGCCATGAACGAAATTTTATTTCTTATCTCCAATGAGTGGATTGTCGATGAGATATCAGGTTTTACTTACGTTTGTTGACTATGCTTTGCAGGACTATAAATCAAAGTAAAGTTATTCATGGTGCCTAATTCTATTTTTAACACTACTGCCTCCGGTGGAATGACTCGTTTACAAATATGTTGCTTTTCGGGCAGAACGTTCGCCCATTTTGTCTACTGGCTTAGTTATCCTTTATTATGCTAGGACAGAATATTTCAAAATTAATATGTTGAACGCTTTAAAAACGAATCAACTTTAATGAAAAACTACCCTCTGATAGCACCTCGCCTTTCGCTTTGAATTGGTCAAGTTCCCCACTTTTTTTTTGGAAGACTTTTGGGCAACAACGAGGACGGAGGGAAAATTTTGAAGTCAATAATTGCGAGTTTTTCATAAAAATTACCTTTCACAGAACATTGAAAACTACCCTATAACCTATTACTGGTTAGATTTTTACAAACAACCCTTCAGGTCTCCCTTCATTTCAAACTTCTCATTTGACGCAACTTTCTAGCTGAAGAGTTTCGTCTTTTTTTAAGATAAGCTAATTTCAGAATGCGAAACAAAAAGCGCCGCATATGAAATACTGTCTGTGGGTATACTGGTGAACATACTTTATAAAAAGTATTTATGTCATATATGTGGGAAGCTTTTGTTTGTGCCCAGTGGGTTGCATAAGAAAGAAAGAAATAGTCCCGCTATTAAAAGTTATATACTCGTATTTTAGACTAATTAATGTATTGTTTTCTCTTGAAAAAGTTCTCTTAGTTTTGTTGCAATTTAAGGTATACTTTTGGCATATATTTAGCATGGGGATTGGCCTATGGTGTGCATGATACATGTAACAGAATCATCCCGTTGCAGTTGCTTTTAATACCGCAGAAAGGATGATGTCAAATGTAGCAAGATGAATAAATGAAAATTTGCGCAAACAATTGCATATTAATATATATAGCAAA